CTACTTATGTATCTTTAACCTTTGCGTGATTATGAGTAACTCGCCCCAGCCGAAATCTATGATTTCGCGCTAAAATATTGAATGCATAAGCTGCATGAAATGCCTCAGTTCGAGAGGTGAGGCATTTCATGCGGTCATGCACCGGAAGAAGTGGGGTCATGCAATTGGCGATAAGTTGAATCATGCATGCAGCGAATATGCATGAAGAGAAACGGAATAAACTTCTATGCCTCATCATGTGCTTCATATGTGCATCATGCAAAAAACGGAACACATTCTAAATCTTACGTCTGTGTACAACTAAATTTGATGAAAAGACGAAATCACCTGAATTTTTGGAAGTTTTAAATAACTATAGTATCTTTATTCCATATCTCCATGGAAAAAAACGATAACAATAGGATATATGAATTGGTGTGAGTGCGAAAAAGTGTAAATATATAAGTTTCACAAATTGCACATAAAAAACAATTGCTTTATGGATTTTTACTATATTTTTCAGATTTTAAAGCCTATAATAAACGCATTATCGTGAAAATGCACGAAAAATTTTCGTAGTGATACGCTACGGATTAAACCCACTCTCCAACAGACTTATCTATTATCTGGCTATGTCGCAAAGATGAAAGACGACATTCGAGAAAATCTGTAAGCCAATTAGTCAGGCTAGGATACTCACGGATAACATAGTCGTTGCGATAGCATAATAATAGCTATTCAAATATGTTCTACATTGAGATTCAATTCAATAAATTGTATTAAGCCGATAATAGGCATGCAATCCCATGAAATAACATTAATAATTTATAAAAATGTTAATTTATATTACGTTAATATATACATTGCTATATATAAATATATATAAATATGCATAAAATATGTTTATTTTATTTTCTATCCAATATTTTGAGATATATAATATATACAACACGAGATGTATATGAAACATAAACTTATAACATATATTAAGTCCAAGATGGTTGAGTTCAGTCATGCTCTTTCATTTGCCAGTAAAAATGTCTGCGCATTAGCACACTTTGTTAAGGCTTAAACACAATAGACACAGGCAATAGGCACAGGGAATAACTAGTCGTCCAATCAGAACTTTGATGTGTAAATTTGATATTATATCTTAGAATTTTGATTTGGATAGCTCGTTATTCTCTATTCCCTGTGCCTATTGTGTTTATATTTACTTTTACCATGGCCACGGTGTAAGAATAATAGGCGATTCCATTCATATAAAATTACTGTGACTTTCCTGAGGAAACTCCGCAGCTGAACAACAGGTGACGTATATGTATAACACCTAACTTCATAAGCCCCGGGAAAAAATGTTTTATACATAATTATATAAAGTTATATATACATTTAAAAAATTATATA